AGAATTGAAGCTGGAGTGGATGCGGAACGCTGCGATAGATCAGATGTAGATCAGATAGATCAGGAATTGTGCGTAATTGCGTAGTGCGTGGATCAGAGCGAATTTGCGGTACTTACTCGCCCCACCAGATGTCGTCAGCGTGGTCCCTCTCCTTCACGACGCGCTTGTCCTTGGGAGAGCGGCCGGTCTTCTGGCCGGAGATGGCGCAGAGCGCGCCGGTGGAGACGATGAAGTTACCCTCCTCATGGGCGATGGCTTGCTCGTACAGCTCTGCATCGCATCGCATCGCAGCCGGAGAAATGTAAGAGAGGTCAGTTAACAAGCCATGAACTAATCTAGCTCAGGAAGCTGCCAAATTCTGTCGTTAAACCCGAGGATGTGCAGCGCTAAAGCTCATAGCTGGAAGCTAATGCTTACCAGCGACGGAGAGGTTGTGGAGAACCTCCTTGGGCTCGAGCTTGGCGACATAGATGTCCGGAGGAGCGAAGTCGGGAATCTCCTTCACCTTCTGAATGTGCTCTCCAGCACGCGTGGTCTTCCGTGACTGAGACGCCAGGTCGAACACCTGGAAAAGACGACCAAAGGCGTAAGGTAATTGTCGTACCGGGCAGAGAAAAGGGCAACGCTCTACCAGATCAGCTACATTGCATGTGCTTGCATAGAGAGCGAATCTGCGCGCAAGCGTACCACTTTATCGTTCTTGGGAGCTTCGGCAGCCATGGCGTTGCGTCTTTAGGGGTGCAAGAATCTAATTGGAGAAAACTTAGCTCTGAACTGGTGTCTCTAGGTTTGCTGAGAAATGGAAGTTGTTCGGGAGTGACAATGAACTAAGCAGTTTTGAGTGTGCTTTGTACTCGCAAATTCTGCTAAAGCAGTAGGGCTGATCAAGCAGGCTACGCATTTCCGCTTGGCTGCGCCAGACATTTCCTTCACCTAATTCCGCTTCCTCCCCCCAATCCCAAGGCGCGACCTGGAGCTTCCGCACAGCTGTTCCGCCACGTGAGCCACTGTTCCAGCATTAAAGGCACGCCTGCTCCGTCAGCCAGGGCGGGGAAAGCCCATGTGGCTGATACCTTCTGAGCGAATGCTGCGTTGATTGGTGCTACTTGTGTACGTGGAAAGGATCTGGCGATCGGCGCCGTGATGTTGGTGTTTTTCGCGTGGGCTGTGCGACAGCGCATGGCGATGTCTTGTCCAGCACTGTACCTGTATGGTGTCTTCACAGCCGTCGATGTGCAGAAAGTGGTTCGCATAATCTTGCTGCGCTGTCCCGTAATTCCCGTCAAGATTGCCACCTGTGCCGAGGCATTTTCCCCATCTCCATAGCTAACCACCAGAACCCCGTCAGCGAAACATGATGCCAAGCTTGCTGGAGATGATGCTCGGTGATTGGTGCGGCCTGCCACGGTGGGAATCTGGGCGACCTGTGATGCGATGCGCCAACCCTTCCAAACGGGTAATTACCTTTGCGGTAACACTCATTGAGATCAATCGCACTCGAGTTAAGCTACGTGTTCAGATTGTAACAAAGATATCCTCTCATCGCCACTGTGGTAACCATTATACCGCAATGGTCCACAATATTGCCTGAATGGTAATCAACAGTGCATCCGGAATTCCTGGCTGGTAACTTCGCGTTCCAGCTAAACTGTACACCGTCCAAGTATGTAATTGACTCAGCGAAAACGAAACTGACTGTCGACGTATACCCCACAGAATGCGGATTTCTGTTTAGTGTACAAACGCTTACAATCACAAATAGTTACATGCACGTATGCGATACAATTAACTATCACAGTCATAGCAAGCATCTTACGGACACTCTGTAAATAAAACATTAGATTATTCAGAGGATCATTTTTATTGTTCTATTGTATTAATTAAACCATCATTTCAGCGTATAATGTAAATCAAGTTCCTGCCAATATCATGATTTAATAAACTTGGATAAAAATATTTCCAACATGCTCAAAAAGTTTCAATCATAAATCAAATCCATTATTTGTTATATCAGTATATATGTTGTTTTTTTCATGCAACTTTCAAAATATGTAATATACAAAAAATATTTTTCAAAAGGATAATGTGATTTTTGTAACTTGATTTAGCTCAAATTCGTAAGATTGGTAAATAGAAGTCTAGTAGAGTAAAATACTATGTTTCACAATATTTATCACTAGGATAGCTTTGCGGTTTGACATTGTGTGTCTGTTATTTTTGTGGAGTTTGTTTGATAGGTAATGCACTCGATTTTATTTTCAACAATTACCATTAGCATATCGAGGTTTGCACGTGCGGGATTGTAAACGCCACTATTATAAACAGAAATGCGCATTTTGCGGAGTGCATGTGGGAAGTCACTTTCATTTTCGCTGAGTCAATTACCTACTTGTACGGTGTACAGTTTGGTTACCTGTCAGGAATTCCGGATGCACTGTTCATTACCATTCAGGCAATAATGTTGACCACTGCGGCCTATTCGTTACCAAATTAGCGATGAGAGGATACCTTTGTTACGATCTGGAAACGTGGGTTACTTCGCGTGCAATAGAGCTCAATGAGGGTTACTGCACAGGTAATTACCCCTTCAAATCCGCATCAAGCAAAAGCGGGGGAAAATGTGTGCGTGGCCCCCACACAACCAAGTTGGGGGGGGAACAGGTGGCCCCACAGCGAACGGGGAGGTGAACCACCCAGACAGGCTTGCGCCGAAACCGTTTAGGCGGAGAAAACACCCCACTTCACCACCTCTGTGTTCCGCTTCGCTCCACCCGGGTTCTGGTTTTGTTCGGTGTGTTCCTTGTCTGGGACTCACACTTGGGCAGCCAATTTGCGTCAAATGACACCATCCACCTGATGCCCATCAAGCACAGCTGCCATCTGTAGGTGCGAATCGGTCCAATTCGGTTCAACGGATGTTTCACCTCCGATCACAAGCTATTGGTAGCTCCCTCTCACTCCCACCACACCTTGCTGTTTGCCTCTTTCCGTCCACCTCCCTACCCATCAGATCGCAACAGTACCTCAGCACGCGTCGGGACTCCAGATCTTTTTTGCTGCGCTGGATAAACAGTTTCCTCCCCTGGCCTTGAATCATGTCCTAGAGGGTTGTACCTGTCTCCGTGATCGTGGGGAATGCAACACTCGTCTCCAACTTTCACGGAACCAAGTTCCACTATTTGATAGTTTTCCCGCCAACGAGCATACCTCCCACGTTCTGTTCCAATGCTGATGCACATGTGATTGTATGAGCAAAGGGTGGAGTGGGGTGTGAGCAAATTAGTGTCATGCTGGTCTCTCATGTCATGTCGACGATCAACAAGCAAATTCAGTTGCAAGAGGACTCCAGAGTAGCGAATTCGACCAGTTCTTTCAGCAGTTTTACTTCAGCTTTCTCGATTGTAGAGATCTGATGGAGGTTCCTAAGTGATGCTGAAGGATCGGAAGCGCGTCCCGCAATTACCCGTGCGTTCCGTCATGACACTGTCATTTGACAAGAGTCTACTTGCCTACGATCGATTGTTTTGTGGTGTCAAAATCAGTGCTCTAATCTGAATTTCACCCAACCCGTGCCATTTCATTTGTCAGAGCCGTGAAAGTCTCAGAGGCGACGGGGTGATTGCCTCGTTCATACTACCCAAGTATGAGCGGCTCGTGATCTACACAGTTTTGGTATAGTAGGCTTAGAGTCACCTCGACTGTGGCAGTTCAGATTCTCGAAATGCGTCACTTGAAGCGGACCTTTCACTTCTTGAGCTGAAGAGGATTCGACGATTCTGAGCCAAAGCGATTCGTCGTTTACCCAGGTTCACGCCTGAACCGTTTAAAAAAGGTAGGCCGTGTAAACTTGAAACAGCGACATGTCTGAGCTTGAATACGATGGGATGCTCTCCTCATGCTAATGGATGGCTTGGTCAATGCACACAGTCTGATGTTTGCGGGAATGGTGAGAAACCAGCTTTTCACAAATCGGCCTTGTGAATCGTGATGTGATACCGTTTCTGCTTAAGACGAAAAAACAGGTATGTACAAAAGAACATGCATGGAGGATGGAGACCATCATCAGTGTGGTCATTGCATATGCAGGAGCACAAACGCAAGGTTACTGAACAAATGCTCAATGACGAGGTTGGGCAATCTGAGGGCGCATTCCTGGCTTCGTGTCAAGAATGGTTAGTGTCCACCTATAACCTTGGAACTCACGCGATTGGCCCAAATACCACAACGGGTCAATCACGTGCGTTCCAAAGTTATAGGTTGACACCAACTCATTCTTGACACGAAGCCAGGAATGCGCCCTTACTGCCAGCGTTTCCCCTCATTTTCACAGGTTGCCAGTAGTCATCTCTGCATGAAGGGTGAATGGATAATGCTTTTTCGGCCATGGGCTGAAATTTGGTTTTCCAGTGTAATGCGAACAGATATTGCTTCCCTTCTTTACTCGACATCAGCAAAACGCTCTGCGCTGGGTGGAAGTTACGCGTGTGTAGGGGGTGATGCGTAGTTTCTCATTACATCATTCGAACTTCCTTCCCATGTTTCATCAACATTAGCAGTTAAACACTGGAGTCTGAATGGGTAGAAGTCATCGTGGTACATTTAGCTAATAGAACGATGGGGTTGGGTTCAACATGACCAAGATCGCCACAAATGGTTTCGATGTGTGCTAGCGGAGCGCACTGAGTCTGTGCCCCCGATAAGGTAATTCGTTGACGCGTAAGCGTTGGACGTATGCGAGGTGTGCTACGGAAGAACATTGCAATCAATAAGCAGTAAGAGACTTGAATCTGCTCCAGAATTCAGTCACTTGTTATGACATTTCATATATGCTGATGCCACGTTCCTCTGCAATTTGATGAAACAACTGAAGAATTAAACAACAGAAACGAGTGCTGATCCACAAAGCTCGCACAAGAACCAAAGAAACAGCATGCCAGGCTCCCTGTAGCTGTCCCTGCCAGGCAGCAAATAGTTCCTGCTTACTGTATACGAGTCCGCAATCACCCCTCGATTTCGCCTGCAGCAGCTGCTGCTGCCACAGGTGCAGAATTTGCTGTTGCTTTCTGCACAGCTTCCTTTGAATTGCCTATCACACCACCCTTGCCCTCGAACTTAGTCTCAGCAGCAGGAGGAGCAGCACCAGCAGCAGGAGGAGCGACAGCAGCAGCAGCAGCAGCAGGAGCAGCAGGCACCTCAGGTTGTCTCTTCCACTGCAAGCTACCTCTGGCAGAGGGCCGGCGAGCACCTTGTGCTTTCACACCCACACCCTGGGCCTTAGCAGGCACGGGACGAGCAGATGGGGAGGCAAGGGCTGTGGGACTGGTGCCGAGCGCAGGGGCAGGGAGCTTGGTGGGTGTGAGGAGTGGGCGAGCGGGGCGTGTGGGCGTGATGGGTGGTGCGGTAGCAGAGGCGAGTGCCTCCAGTGCCGCATGGGGCTTGTGCATGATCTGCGGGTCAGAGGAGGGAATGGGGAGATGGGGGGAGAAGGGAGCAGGGGGGTGTGAGGACTGGGGTGGAGAATAGGTGTGACGAGTGCTGGTGCAACAGCGGAGGAAACTGCATTCTCGTACACAGAAAGATCCACATCTTCCTCCTCGCACACAGTAACAGACAGGGGAGTGCAGGGCTTGTGGAGGGCAGGGCTTGTGGAGAATGTGTGTACAGCCATGCTAGCAGGAGGGGACTGGGCGAGGAGGCGGCATAGAGAGGAAAGAATGGAACCCAGAGAAGATGGCGGAATAGAGAGGCAAAAGGTGGAAGTACCTTGAGGGGACGTGACATAAACGAAGCGTCGTTGAGAGCTAGGGCCTTGTCAACCGCTTCCTTAATGGCGAACTCGATATAAGCACATCTGCGGTCAGTCAGGTGGAGAGGAGAGGGCAGGGGATTGGGGGGCAGGCATGGCATGCTTGTGTAAGTTTGAAACGAAGAACAATGATGTTGATGTTATTCAAATCAAAGCACTTGCTATTCAAATCAAAGCACTTGCTATTCAAATCAAAGCATGTTGATGTTGACAGTTACAATGATACGATGACAAGTAGCTATTTAAGCATGCAGAGGATAGCGCAGGGTGCATGAAAAGGTTTCGGGACGTGTATGGTACGAAAGCAGCAGGTGGAATCACAAGGACTTTTGAGGCGCCTCAAGAAAGCAGGCAGCAATGATGAGGAGTCATGAGACGCTTTGAAAGGGAATGATGATGAGGACTTTGAAAGCAGCAGGTAGGAAAAAATACCCTCTGGGGCGGCCAGTGAGGGGATGAGTGAGGATGGTGACCCAGCGAATCTCCCCACAGGCTGCGAAGTGGAGCGTGAGCGCCGCTACTGTTGCTGCGAAGTGCACCTGTGGGGAGGAATGGCAGGGGGGAGGGCAGAGGGCGAGGGGAGAGAGCAGAGCGCAGAGGGGAGACGTCTTAAAACGCAATAGCCCTGTGTCCTGGCACATGTGCAGAGGCAGACGTGCAGGGGCACATGTGCAATGATAGCGGAAGTGTTAATGGCACAAGTGAGGTGAGGTGCGATGATGTGCAGTGTGGTGTAGTGGGGCGGGGTGCGGTGCAGTGTATGATGTTGCAGAGAAGCAGGAGAGAGAGGGGAGCACGGAGACAAGCAGAGAGCGGGCGTCAGCGTCGCACTGTGAGAGACTTGTGCACGAGGGAGAATGGCGAGGGTGGGAGGGAGTGAGATGCGGTGGAGTGGAGTGCGGTATGGTGAATGACATAGCTGAGAGGGGAGCTCACATTCGAGACGAGAGCCGAGCAATCGTCAACGCCCCCCGCGGAAAGGGACTTGGTGGGTGGATGGGTGGGTGTGGTGGGTGGGTGGGTGGGTGGGTGGGTGGGTGGGTGGGTGTGGTGTGGTGGGTGGGTGTGGTGTGGTGGAGTGTGGTACTTCAAAGTGCAGTGTGGTGGAGTGTGGTGCAGACGAGCAGGAGGAAGGGGCTCACATTTGAGACGAGAACCGAGCGATCGTCAGCGGCCCCCGCTGATTGGGACTTGCGCATGAGAGAGAAAGGCGTGGGTGCGTGGGCGTGCAGTGCGGTGGAGTGCGGTGAGGTTGACAACGTGCCGTTGGTGTGAGTAGCTGCAGTGGATGACAGACAGAAACGAGTGCGGGAGAGAAGGGGAGGGTTAGGAAGACAGAAAGAGGAGGGAAGTAGGATACTGAGTAGACACATGTTAAGCACGTGAGGTGGCTGAAAAAAAGGGAGATTCAGCAGCAGGACAGAGGGGCAGAGTCGGGAGCATATCGGAGGCAGCAAGGGTGAGATGCAAGGAGGTCGTTGGTGAGTGACCCAACATCAAGAGAAGGGTACCTGTTGGCTTAGTGGGTGCAGCATCAGCACTACTCGTTACTGAACTAGCTTTAGCAGCAGCGGCCTTATCACCACCACCACCACCACCACCACCACCACCACCACCACCACCACCACCACCACCACCACCACCACCACCACCACCACCACCACCACCACCACCACCACCACCACCACCACCACCACCACCACCACCACCACCACCACCACCACCACCACCACCACCACCACCACCACCACCACCACCACCACCACCACCACCACCACCACCACCACCAGCAGCAGCAGCAGCAGCAGCAGCAGCAGCCTTCATCTGCCTCATCTCCTCCTGCATCTGCTGAAGTCTCTCTCGCATTGCCTCCACACTCTCCTGCCATACGGTAGAATGGGCGTGGGTCGGTCGGGGGGTTGGAAGGGGATGAGTGACCGGAGAGTTTCGAGTTTTGAATTCGACTAAAAAATCGACAAATACAATTTCCATGAGCAGAGGTGCGCACCTGCTTCTGTGCCACTGGGCTGACTTTACTCTCCTTCTCTTTCTCCTTCTCCTTCTCCTTCTCCATATCTTTATCCTCCCTCTTTGCCACCCAAGTCATGCTTCCCCTACCCCGCCCCATGCTGCCTTGTCCCCCCCTCCCCTGCCCGGCCCCCATGCTAGCTGCAGGCCAAGACCGCCGCACTCCGCCCTCCTCCTGCCCCCTCCCCACTCCACCTGCCACGTGTGGAGCAACCACTGACCAATTTGTACCCTGCTGCTGCAGCTGCTTTTGATTCTCTAGCGCCTGCTGCCCCTGTGTGTCGTCCTGCTGATGCTGGGGAGGCACCCGTAGCCACTGCCGCTGCTGCAGCTGCGGCCTTTGCTGCTGCTGCTGTGCCTGCTGCTCATTCTGCTGCTGCACCTGCTGCTGCTGCTGAGGCTGCTGCAACAGCTGGGGGTTCTGCAAAGCAGGAACTATCACCAGACCTACATTTTGCCCGACCAAGCCCATCTCCATCCCCATCCCCATCCCCGCACCCATACCCATGCCTATGCCCATGCCATTCACAAGCACACCCCTTTGAATCAAATCCTCCCGCACGAAAATCCTCCTCACACCTCTCTCCCTGCCTCCTCCTCCTCTCTTCACCCCTCCCTTCCCCACTGCTTGCATCTCTCCTCCCACTCCCTCAACCCCCTCCTCCTCTTCCTCCTCATCCTCCTCCTCGTCCTCTTCCCCCTCTCCTCCAAACCTTACTCGCATCCCCCCTCCCTCCCCTCCTCTCCCATCGCCCCACCCCTCTACTCCCTCTCCTGCTTCCTCTCTCCACATACCCTGCTCAACTCCTCTCAACCCCTCAATATATTCCCCCCCGTATCCTTCCCCATACTCTCCCCTATACCCTCCCGCATACCCACCCATAAACCCTTCCTCATACCCTCCCCCAAACCCCTCTTCGTACTCTTCCCCAAGCTCTGCTTGCCTCTGCACCACTATCCGCCCATCTCCACCCCTCTGCACACATCGTTTGCCCAGCCTCGCCCACACACTACCTCTACCACCCTCCTTCTCCGCCCCCTCTTTCCCCTCCGCATCTTCCTCTCCTCTCCCCCCTCCCCCTGCTCTTGAATCCACTCTTGCTCTTTCCTCTGCCTCCTCTCCCCCACTCCCCTCCCTCCCTTCCCTCCCCTCCCTCCCCTCCCTCCCCTCCCTCCCCTCCCTCTCCTGCCTTCGCACTGCCTTGATCCGACGAGGGGCATCAGCAGGAAGAGACACCACCACTGATCGCAACCGTTTCCGTGCCCCACGCCCCTCCTCCTCCTCCTCCTCCTCCTCCTCCTCCTCCTCCTCCTCCTCCTCCTCCTCCTCCTCCTCCTCCTCCTCCTCCTCCTCCTCCTCCTCCAGTCCCTCCTCTTCTCCCCCCTCCTCTTCTCTCTCCTCTCCTCTATCCTTTTCCCTCTTCTCTTCTCTCTCCACTCCTCTCTCCTCTCCTCTCCCCCAATCCCTTCTCTCCTCTGCCCTTGCCACTCGCTCCTCCTCACTTGCTGCTCTAGCAGCAGCCTTCACGGCACCAGGAGAGGCACCATCGGAGGCAGCAGGGGGAGCAACGAGGTCAGCGCTTTGAATGGCAGAGCGGCTGGGGGCAGACACGACAATTCGCCTTACTTCCCTCGTCGCCCTCACTGCCACTCCCCTTGTCGCCTCCTCCTGCTGCTCACCATTACCACTTGCAGCGGCAGCAGCAGCAGCAGCAGCAGCAAGAGGTGCAGTAGCAGTGGCAGCATGGGCGTGAGCAGGGGCACGCACCTCCCTCGCAGGCTTCACAGCATCTCTCACCGCAAACTGCCACAGCCTGCCGCCCATTCCCCTTGCTCCCCCGCCCACTTGCCGCCCTCTTTTCCCCACAACCTGCCCTCCTGCCATCCGTTCCTGTGTCCCATCCAAGCCCCTCCCTTCCCTTCTCTCCACACCTTCCCCTTCCTCTTGCTCCTCTCCTCCTACTTCCACCCCCTCCTCGCCCTGCCACCTCTCCTCCTCGCCTTCTATCCGCCTCTCACTCACTCCCACCAAATCAAACGACCCGCGACCTTTCCTCCTCACAGCCTCTTCGCTGCCCTCTAGTGCGGCCCCTTCCGCCCTCTCAGCCCCCTCTGCCACCTCTGCTCCCTCTGTCCGTCTCCGCACCAACGCTCTCGCTCCCCCATCCGCCCTTCCCCCATCCGCCCTCCCCCCGTCCACAGTCGCCCGCCTCCGCGCCCCTTCGCCCAGGCTGCTGCCAAACAGTCGCCTCATGCGCGCCCTCTCCTCCTCCCCATGCCCCTCCGCGCGCACCCTCTCCCGCCCCCCCTCCTCCCCCTGCTTCTCCCGCTCATGCTTCTCCCCCCACTCCTCACCGCCCCCTTCCCCTGTCGCCCGCCTTTTCAACGCCCTTGCCAGGTCCACACCCCTTGCCAGGTCCACACCCCTTCCCAGGTCCACACCCCTTCCCAGGTCCACACCCCTTCCCAGGTCCACACCCCTTCCCAGGTCCACACCCCTTGCCTCCTCCATCCTTCTCGCGCTCGCCTCTCCCCTCTCCTCCCGCTTTCTTGAAGGAGACCACGATCTAGACCCACCCCGACGCGCCCACACATCCCTCTCAATTCCCCTCTCCGTCCCCCTCGCCGTTCTCCTCTCATCTCCCCCCTCCTCCTCGCCCTCCGCCCCTCGTACCTCGTCCATATAAAGCCGTCCTCTCTTCTCAATTCCCCTCCCCTTCTCCTCATACCCTCTACCTCTCTCCTCATACCCTCTCCCTTTCTCCTCATACCCTCTCCCTCTTTCCTCATACCCTCTCCCTCTCTCCTCATACCCTCTCCCTCTCTCCTCATACCCCCTCCCTCTTTCTTCCTCACGCCCAGTAACAACCCCATCCCTTCCTCTCTTGCCCTTCCACGAGTCTGTTCTTCCTTCCAAGCTCCTCCTGTCTCCGTCCCTTTCCTTCTCCCCCTCCTTGCTCCACCCTCTCTCCCTCTCTCCGATCACTCCTCTCCCCCCCTCTCTCTCCCTGCCTCGCTCACCACTCCTCTCCCTGCTCCGGCCTCTCACTTCTCGCCCCCTCTCTTCCCTCCCTCTCTCCTTTCTCCCCCTCTCTTCTCTCGCCCTCCCATCTCGTCCCCTCTCCTCCCTCCCCTTCTCCTCCCACACCCTTCCGCCATCCTCCCTCACTTCAACAGCCTCCCTCCTTCGTCCCTCGTCTCGCGTCCCCTCGGCCCGCTTCTCCTCCTCCTTTGCAACCGCTTCTCTCCCATCCTTCCCTGCACCTGCGGTATCTGGGGCAGCGGGCGCGTTGTATTTCCCAATGTTGGCAGACAGGTGAAGCCACAGCCTGTTAATGAGGGAAGGAGGGAGGAAGGGGGGGGTTGGCCGAGGGTGGGGGGCTTTTGAGGAGCGAGATGAAGCAACAGGCTGCACCAAAACGAACACAGGGTTGTACACTCACAGAAAATGTGAGGAAAACGGAGAGGAATACGGTATAAAAACAACAGGTCAAATAACAACAACGCTATAACAGGGATTTACTGTACCGTGCAGCGCAATGACATTATTTCTTCAAAGAATATCACCCACCAGTCGACAAAGGCGGCGGTTTGGTCGCCCAGAAACGCCTCGAGATCCTCGGCGGCGTGGCTCTTGGGCTTGCCGTGCGCCACCAGCACCACCACGTACTCCTGCGAGGGAAGTAGGAAACATGTCCAGATTCAGTGAACTTGAAATAATAAGAATTGAGATCCTCGGCGGCGTGGCTCTTGGGCTTGCCGTGCGCCACCAGCACCACCACGTACTCCTGCGAGGGAAGTAGGAAACATGTCCAGATTCAGTGAACTTTAAATAATAAGAATTGAGATCCTCGGCGGCGTGGCTCTTGGGCTTGCCGTCCGCCACCAGCACCACCACGTACTCGTGCGAGGGAGGTGGGGAAAATGTCCAGATTCAGTGAACTTGGACAACGGACTGGGACCTACCGTACTTCCGCGTGAATTCACACAAGGTGCAGGCGCCAGAGATGATGCCGGGGAAGGCTAGGGCAAAAAGGGCGGAGCTAAGTCAGAGTTCTGGCAGGGTTTAGTCAAGCGTAGGATTGAAAAACGAAGAAAATATTTTACTATTCCTTAGTCTCCGGAATACAAACAAACATCCGGGGACGGCTCTTCTGTTCTGAGGATGCAGAAAAAAATGTTAGGTTTTCACTCGCTGCTGCTCAGAAATGCTAGGTTCAACAATGAGCGGCTAAGACGAGGCGACGGTGGATACAATGCGGGGCGAGGCGAGGGGGTACGTCTCAGAAGTCGTCTTTGTTCAGTAGTGTGTGGTTCAGTAACGAGCAGCTAAGCCCAGCAGATGTTCATAAGACCGTACGGGTCACTGAATAACAGAGGCGATTAACATTGAGGAATTTCTCATGCCAATTTCCGTGAATATCCACTCTTAACTCCTTTTAGTGAGTAAAGAAGCGGAACTACAGACGGATCCGATTCGCGGGGGATCATTCGGCGGCGTGGAGATCGCGAAAGGCGAACATTCGCGAACGACGAGCGTAGATCGGGGGCCACGTGAATACTTACGATTGCTCCGCGTCGGCAACACGGCGTCAATCTTGCAAAAGAGTAAGTTCCCGTACGACGTATCGACGCATGGCAAAATGAGTGAACCAACTGCTGCTATTCTAATTCTATACCTACAGGCGCTATGAATGCGAGTTGAATTTAGAGTCGACTCAACAGTCAACTCATTAGTGGACCAACAGCTGCTATCCTATACCAACAGCTGCTATCCTATACCAACAGCTGCCATGAATTCGTGTAAAGCGCTACGGAATCGAACGCTTCCCCAGGAAGCCAGCACGAAACCGCCTCCAACGCCACGGAACGAGTACACGCGAGGACGTCGTCTGTGAAGCTCTCGGAGAAATCGAAAGTATTGCCACGAAAGAGTACGTAACGCCACGAAACCGTACCTAACGCCACGGAACCGCAATCAACGCCATATAACCGTAACGAACGCTCTCGGAAACGCGTACCGCGAGGACGTCGTCGGTGAAGCTCTCGGAGAAATCGGCGAGCTTGTCGCGCACGACGGCGCGCAGCGCGGACGCGCCCGGTCCGTGCAGGTCGAGCGAAAACGGCTCGCCTGGATCACCCATGTCGGCAGATTACGCCTTCTGGCGTCAGTCAGGCTTCGCTCAGCAGTCCTTACGCAGGCCTAGCGCTTTGCGCGTAAATCTCAGCTATGACTGCGATGCCGATGTTCATGATCTCACACTGGCTAGGGAAATCAGCGTGATCAGAAACAGAGAACTGATTGTTGGCTGAGCCAGTCTGAGATGGCCTCGCAGCTTGTGTGACAGAATCGAGGGGGAAAAGGCCGTTCCTGATGGGTTATGGTTGTGCTTCGCGAAATTTTGTAAACAAGTCAAAAGTGTATGCAGATCGTAATGGAACAGCTTATGATTATATATACATGAAAATAATATATACACGTTTTGCAGAATCCTTTATCAATACAGAGAAGTGCGCTTTCCAGAACCTTGAGAGAAGGTAAAACCTGCTGAAGAGCTGTTTGAAAAATACAGGTCTAAATGGGTCATGCATGCGTGCAGCAGAATCCTAAGTACAGGAAAAAAAAAAAGGGATTTTTCCATAACCTAAAAAAATGTCAATTATGCTGATGAGCTATTTGATAAATACAGGTCCAAATGGGATCATGTATGCGTACACACAAAGACAAATGCATGCGCACTGCACACATGCATGCTTGTTGTGCTCATGCATGCATGCACACGGTTGCCATAATTACAACCAAATGTACAGCACACCGTTGCCCCTCTTGCCAATAATACCACTCACCAGGGCCCAAAATTGGTTTAGGCCCACCCTGACAAATCAAGGTTGCAGCTCCTCTTTACCCTGACCCATTGTGTATTTTTTTCCATACCCTGTTTGCATCAAGGTAAATCAAGGATTTCGGCATGGTTGCCTGATTTGAGCAGGGTATTTCTACAGATAGCCTGTTTCCAATACTACTTTGTCTGTTACGTAATTTCTTCAGTATTATTAAGGTTGCACAAACATCACAACTACTCAGTTGATGCGTAGGACAGCAAGAAGCTGTCCTTGACGCGCAACTCTGCTCACCTGGTAGTGGGCGTGGCGTGGGGTGCGTTGGCAGTCCTGTGGGTAAGACAGCCAATAAGGCCACATGGCGAGCCGCCGACAACATTTCACGGTTTCCCGCCTATGGTCACCAGCGACAACGGTGCCAGTGTGAGAGTGGGACATTTTGGCACCACGCGGGGAATGGGCTGATCCGCGTTAAAACTAGTTTCGGTAACTGGGTAGTCGTCACACAACCCTGATTCCGTCAGGCTAACTAAAAATCCAATCAGGGGAAAAAAACACCAACACTTTTTGGGTAAGGGTAAGAATCTACGAAGCCTGATTTAGAAAGGGTAACTCTGAAAAAGCGGCCCGCCCCCAGGGTAATCAGGGCATTTTACCCTGATATTTTAGGCCCTGCCACTCACTGACACTCACCACCCTCTCACCATCCACTCTCATTGCACACTCACCAGTCACTCCTCGTTCAGTCTCAATCCTCAATCTTTACACTCACTTGCACCACTCTCTCTGACGATATATTATCAACACCACTAATTACCTCCATCTCACCACCTCGCCACTCCCACCCCTTCACCACTCACCATTCTCATGACCCACTTTAATGACTCTGCCTCACCACCTTCTCCGCTCTCACCGTCACCACGCACTAACACCTTGAAAACTTACCATTCAGCTAATGCCACTCACCCTCACCTCCCACTCCCAGACCTCTCTCCCACCACTCACTCACTCTCACCACCCACCCTCACCAAAATCACCATGCGCTCGCCATTCTCACAACTCAACCTCACTCCCACCTCTCAAACTCTCACCACTCACCCTCACCACACCCTGCCTTACCCAGCCTCACCACCACTCACTCAATTACCCTCAACAATCAGTTGCAGCACTCTCACCACTAAACTCCCTCTCATTCACCTGTGGCCTTCACCCACTATCACCAATCACACTCACCTGTGTCTATCACTCACTATCACTGCTACTCAGTCTCACCTACCCAACCACACTAACCGCTCACCCTCACCAGCCTAACTGCTCTCACTGCCACCACGCACACAAATCTAAAACCTGAACATCCCAATGTTGCGGCTCACTCTCACCTCCCACTCTCACCACTCTTCCCCACCACTCATTCGCTCTCACCACACTCACCTCTCATTCTCACCACTGTCACCTCTCACCACTCAACTCTCTCACCCTCTCACCTGTGGTGACTCACTCACACCATTCACTCCATCTCACCACCTCGTGACTCCCACCCCTCCACCACTTCACATTTTCACCACTCATTCTCACCATTGTCGCCACTCAGACTAACCAACCTCACCACTCTTTGCTCTCACTGCCACCACGCACTGACATCATAAAGCTGAACATTTGAATCCCGTTGCTCACACTCTCTCACAACTCCCTCCCACCACACACTTACACTCACCACTGCCACCTCTTACTCTCACCACTCACTCACCCTCACCACTCTCGCAATTACTCTCACCACTCACCCTCTCAATACCCAGCCTCACCACCACTCACTCATTCACCCACACTCACCAACCACTTGCACACTCAGTTTCACCACTCACTCTCCCCACCATCACCTCTCATGCAACAGGTGGCATCAGTGCCATACAGCCCATCATGTGCCACCCAAGGGGACTCAGACCCTTTCACTTGCTCTCACCCACCCAAGGGGACTCAGCCCCTTTCACTTGCTCTCACCCACCCAAGGGGACTCAGCCCCTTTCACTTGCTCTCACCCACCCAAGGGGACTCAGCCCCTTTCACTTGCTCTCACCCACCCAAGGGGACTCAGCCCCTTTCACTTGCTCCCACCCACCCAAGGGGACTCAGCCCCTTTCACCGCCACTCATCAAGTGCCCCCATCCCCTCCCCACCTTACCTACCAGCAGTAGGAGCAGCAGACAGCCCACTCCCCTTCTGAAACAGCACCCCTAGGGGCTGTGCCTTGAAGGGCGAGGTGTGGTAGTGGAAAATTGCTTCCAGCCCAAGACTCAAATCCCACCCCTGACGTAGCTAGAGCTGACGCGAACCAGAGTCGCCGGCCGGCCGACTCTGACGGTGTCCATTAAGCCTTAAACGCCAGATCAGTTACTTGAGCACCGAGTGCCGTGCCGCGCAAATTCCACCCACCACACCCCGACCCACAAGGCACAACCCCAGAGGATGCTGCCCCTAAGGCAGTGCTCCCCGCTTGCTCCCACGCTCCCCACCCACCCACCCACCCACCCACCCACGCTCCCCACCCACCCACTCAATCACCCACCACACACTTCACCCCCATGCCTCCTTACCTCTCCTTACCTCTCCTTACCTCTCCTTACCTCTCCTTACCTCTCCTTACCTCTCCTTACCTCTCCTTACCTCTCCTTACCTCTCCTTACCTCTCCTTACCTCTCCTTACCTCTCCTTACCTCTCCTTACCTCTCCTTACCTCTCCTTACCTCTCGTTACCTCTCCTTACCTCTCCTTACCTCTCCTTACCTCTCCTTACCTCTCCTTACCTCTCCTTACCTCCACCTACCAGAGCCATGCAGAGCGCCATGATGCCTCAGGCTGCTAGAAAGGGAGGGAGGCAGGGAGCAAGGGAGAGCAATGAGCAAGGGGAGAAGAACAGGCAGAAACGTGACGGCAGGACAAGAGCAAGAAAAGACAGTGAAGCATTGGGAGAAGGAAAGCAGCAGCGTGAGTGAAGGAAACAACACAAACGAATGCATGTCTGGCACGGAGGGGAAAAGAGGCTCACCTTGTTTCAGACGACCCATCCCAACCGATACTCTCCCATCCCATCCCAGCCGAGTGGAGTGCTGCCCCCTCTCCTCTCCCCAAGTGACCTGGCAGTGGGGGGAAAAGGGGTTGAAGAGACAGGAGAGGAGGGGCAGGTAAGTTGGCATCAACTGAAACAGTCAAGCAAACAGAAAAACACCAGAGTGGACAAAAATGGAAATGCCGAATTGAAGTGAGGGAAATGCCAAATTGAAGTGAGGGAAATGCCGAATTGAAGCCGAATTGAAGTGAGGGAAATGCGGCATCTGTAGCAGGGAGGGGAAAGAGGCTTACCTTGTTTCAGAAAACCCATCCAATACTCTCCCTTCCCATCCTAGCCGAGTGGAGTGCTGTCCCCTCCCCTCCAACACTGCCACCTGCACGGCCACAAAGGGAGGGGTGCGAGGGAGTGGCGGTGTTGACCCCCACGCCCCTCCCCACAACCAGCAAGGAGAGAACTGAAGAGAAGTGAGTAAGCGGCTAGGGGTAGAAATGTGAGAGGAGTGCATGAGATGGCATGTGGGAGCAGAGAAGGGGGCCACTGGTGCAGCCTCAGCTACAAGCCACAGACCCAAGAGAGGTACACACCTAGGGAGGCTTACCTGCACACCTGAGAGAATACCTGCAGTACCTGGGGGAATTTAACAAAAAAAAGGGTCTGTGGCTTGAAGCTTTGGTTCAACCAGCGGCTTGTGTTTCAATGCACAAGCGGCAGGAGATGCAGCAAGGACTGAAATGGAACGAAAATGAACGCAAGAGGCAGCGCGGGTACTTAGCTGTAGGGTTGAGCAAGGTAACGAACACCTGTTCGGTTCGCCTCAAACAGGATTGTTTTTTTGCTAAAAATGTTCGTGGCAAACGTGTTCGGTGTTCGCCCGAACACGTTCGGTGTTCGCCCGAACACGTTCGGTGTTCGTCTCGTTGTGGGTGCCGAGTCGCGACGAACACATTCGTGTTCGTCGCGACTGTCCCGCGATCTACAATTTAGGTTGCGGGACATTCGGTTTGAGCTCATATTTGAGCTCAAACTTAGTCGCGCTATTCAGCAGCAGCCATCACTACCACGGCCCCCACACATCACGCCATTATCACCTCATTAGGACTTAGCGTTCGTGTTCGCCTCCGAAACCAAGGTGTTCGCCTTCACAGGCGAACGGCGAACACCTTTTTTTGCTTAAGGCGTTCGGCGAACCGAACAGTGTTCCGACGTGTTCGCGTTCGCCTCTTGCTCATCCCTACT